AATTGAGAAGGTTGGAGAGGATTTGGAACGGGTGTTATTGGGAACACACACACACACACACACACACACACACACGAGGGAAGGGTCAGACGGAGGCAAACAGAAAGTCTGCCTTGTATCAATAAAGTCCAGATGAGATGGGGTATCACTTGTTGGTGTTGTGGCCTCTCTCTAGTGCCATTTGGCAGCTGGCAATGAGAGAATGTGGATGGGACGCCAACAAAATGCCCCTCAAGTGGCTGGCCGTGGGACCTACACTGAATAAGAAGGTAAATGAAGCCATAAGAGGACTGTAATAATAGAGAGACTGAGCAAAGGGAGAGCAGTAGGGGAGGAAAGAGACAGGGAGAGGTGTGGGAAAGAAGGGAAAGAGCCCTAAAGATACGAAGGGGCTGTAGTCAGAGGGCAGTTTCAGCTTTCAAGATCTTCGTGGGAGAACAGCTTCAAATGATGGTGAAGACCAAGGGTGGCGAGGCTCAGGCCTGAAGTAAATAGTAGATCTTAATTTATGCATTGTGATTGTGAAGGTGTTTTCTGAGTTCAACTTCAAAACTCCTTAAAGGAAATTAACCAGGCGGCATCCTGTGGATGAGAAAGAGACTGACAATATAGTGTGAGAAAGCTAAGTTCTCATTACCATGACAGGAAGTCAGTTGAAAATGTCTCGGGGCACCTGGGTGGATCAGTTGTTAAGCGTCTGCCTTCCGCTCAGGTCATGATCCCGGGGTCCTGGGATCGAGCCCTGCGTCGGGCTCCCTGCTCCACGAGAAGCCTGCTTCTCCCTCTCCCATTCCCCCTGCTTGTGTTCCCTCTCTCGCTGTGTCTCTCTCTGTCAAATAAATAAATAAATAAAATCTTTAAAAAAGAAAAGAAAATGTCTAGAACCAATAAATCAAGAAATAGTAGTGTAAATATATAATTCTCCATTCTGACATGGAGCCAACGGCCAAGAAGGAATTCTTGAGACGTCTTTGGTGCAAAAAAGGTGATTTTTTTAAAGCACGGGGACAGGACCCTGGGGGCAGAAAGAGCTGCATTGGGGTTGTGAGGGGTGGCAGTTTATATACTTTCAAGTTGGGAGGGGATTAGGGATAGTGTAAGTCTCTAAGAAATTTTGGAAGCAAAGTTTCCAGGAACTTGAGGGGGCTAGCTATTGTTGGGAAAAGTCATTTATTGCTGTCTAGTCAAATCTTAGTCATGAGACCCTTCAGATGTTTATCAGTGGGTCATAGGCTTGGGGGATGATTGCCAACATGTATCTTGGGGAGTAGAGAGAAAGGAAGTTTCCAAAGGAATTTTTATATGTTAAAGTAGACTTACAGGGTCCTGGGGGTCAGGCCAAGATTGCCTTTTGCCCTTGGGAAAGTGTCAACATTGAGGCAGCTGAATCCCTAGAGGAACGTCACTGTTTCAAGGACTTGTCAATGGGCTGTAAGTAGTAAGGAAATTTAATAATTTTTCTTCTGCCTTTGTTTCCCATATCAACACTCTCTACCAGGAGATAGCATCAGATCCCACAGGTGAAAGGTTCAGTCCTACAAGACTGCCCCCATCCCCCGCCCCAGCCCCTACTGCAGATGCCAGCTACCAGCCCAGGTTATCACCCATACTTCTGACTGACTGGCTACACATTGGAAGTTCCAGTGATCCCCTTTTTGGGTTCTATTAATTTGCTAGAGGCCCTCACAGAACTCACGGAACAAACTGAAGGTCACCAGAGGGGAGGTGGGTAGGGGGTGGGTGAAATAGGTGATGGGGATTAAGAACACATTTATCATGAGGAGCACTGAGTAATGTATAGAATTGTCGAATCACTATATTGTACACCTGAAACGAATGTAACACTGTATGTTAACTGTACTGGAATTAAAAAAAAAAAACCCACAGAAATATTTTATGTGCTAGATTACTGTAGGTTTATTATAAAAGGATATAACTCAGGAACAGCCAGATGGAAGAGATGCATAGGGCAAGGTGTGGGGAAGGGATGCAGAGCTTGCATGCCCTCTCCAAGCATGTGGCTCTCCCCGAATCTCCATGTATTCACCAACCTGGAAGCTCTCTGAACCCCATTCTTTTGTTTTTTTTTTTATGGCAGCTTCATTACATAGGCATGATTGATTTAAATCATTGGCCATTGGTGATTGGACTCAATCTCCAGCCCCTCTCCCCTTCCCAGAGGTAAAGGAGTGGGTGGGACTCATTCCAACCCTCCGACCACATTGTTGGTTCCCTCATCCTTCGATGTGGCCTCAAGGTAACCTCATTAACATAATAATACAGCTTTGTTCTCCTCACTTAGGAAATTCTAAGTGTTTAAAGCATTGTGCCAGAAATGGACAAAGACCACATATATATTTTTTATTATAAATCACAGCATCACAACACTTCATTCCCCTGTAGCTACTGTGTTCTTTCTTCTCCTTCCCCAGACTCCTTTGAAATGAGTCTCTACTTGGCTCTACTTCCTGCCCTCCAGTCCATCCATCAGCCCACTGTGGGCTGGCTTCTTTACTCTTAACTCCCAGAGTCTAGTGTAGATCACTAGTAACCTGCTAGTATTCAGTGGATCTCCGTGTTGCAGAGTTGATCCTCCATTAAGCCCCTCTTCCCTTGGCTTCCTTTGGCTTTACTTTGACTACTTCTCTGGCTCATTCTTCCTGTTACTCTTTTCTCCCTTTGTTCCCCCCCCCACCCAGGATATTTTCATTTAATTTATCTATCTTTATCTAACAGCGTTTATCTAACCACACAGCACTGGCTGTGTGCCATTCACTGCACCAGGTGCAGATGAATACATAGCCTGGGCTTGCAAGGGCTTTACAGTCTAAAAGTGGAAGGAAGCAGTGTAACAAGTTAGTGGGCGTCATGATACACTCAAGCGCAGGCTGCAGTGGGGATGTCAGGGAGGGAGTGGTCCATTTTGTTAGACCAGGGGTCCGGTTAAGAGCAGTCAGGAAAGTCTTCTGCCTGGACCACTCTTCCCCTGCTTTGCCCTGAGCTATACTTCATCTCTCAGTGCTCATCTATAAAATAATGTGGCAGTCATGGAAGTGTGTTGCTCAGATGTTTTTTCAAGACAGTCAGCTTTGAGGAGTGCCGTTGACTCACAGCCTCCATCTGTTGCCTTTGGATCTGCGATGGCCTGTATACTGAGGCACGCTTCTGGGCACCCCCAGCCAGTGACTGAGCATGGTGGCAGCAATGGAGCCCAGCCAGTTCTGCCCAGTATGGGATTCTACTGGGCAGTCTCTGCTCAAGGGCCCCCCATTGGCCTGGCTGATACTTTCTCAGGGTCCTGCACTTGAAGGAGCTTCCTCTCAAACCCTCTTTCTCCTTTTAGAGGTGTCAGATCTGCATTACCACCTACTCCTGTACTCTCCCCTTTATCCTCTCATGGTATTGTCCCCACTGAATCACTTGCATGCCTAAATGTTTTGGCATTTGAACCAAACACAGGGATATGACAGGACCTGCCGTACAGTGCTGTTGTGAGAATTCAGTGAGTTAATATATGTGAAATGCTTAGAAAAGGGCCTGGTACATAGCAAGTGTTATGCTATTGTTGTTAGCTATTGTTATTACTATTTTATTATCCTTTAGATCTCAACTTCTGTTTTACTCTCTCTAGAAACCTCAGATCTCCCTAGAGCGCTCCAGCAGCATCTTGTCCTTGATTCTATTCCATCACTTTGTTTTCTTGTTGGCCTTCACACTTAGATGGTGAATTCAATGAATAATAGAACCTTGTTGGGCTTACTGTTGTTTATCCGTGCCTAACATTGTGTCTGACTCATAGTAGGTTTTGAATTGATGTTTGTTGAATGAAAATGATTCAGCGGAGTATTAACAGATGAGTGTTATTTGCCAAATGGATGAGGGCTGGGAAAGAAGGAATGTTGAGAGAATTGTGTACTGGGGCATGAAAAGCCTGTGGGGTACTGAAAGCTGCTAGTTATGATTGAAGAGTGGGGTGCAAGAGAGATGTGGCAAAAAAGAAGCCTAAGGAATAAGTCAAGGGCCAGAGCACTGGGATGGCCTGAATGCCAAGCCAAAGAGTTTGAATGGCATAGATTCACCTCATGCAGGTGTCATGGTGCAGGTCTTATGCTGGCCTAGTGGGCTCACACCCATCTTTGATGGTGTTTTATGTCCTTATGAATCATATGTTACTTCACTCAGCGCTATAGATTGCCCCCAAATGGTGGCTGTTTCTCTAGAACTGCATGAAGAAATGTAGGCATCTCTGAGCACTCATTTCAACAACGCATCTGATTGGTCTTTATTTACAAACTGCTTTGGCTGCAATATCTCACCCAAACAGTTGGGTCTCTTAACCGATCTCTTTGCCTTCCTCACAGCCCTGTTAAATATACCTTCCCCTCCTACTGTGAGACAGATCTCTCTAAAGCTAAATCTGCTTATTTTACTCCTCAATTTAGTACCTCCCAATAATAGCACACTCTGGTTGCCTACAGGATAGTGTCCAGATTCCTTAGTGTGGCCCACAAGGAACATCCTGGTCTGAGCCTTCGCGGCCTCTGGATGCCCTGTCCTGCACCACGTTCAACTGCTTGTAGGCATCAGGAGGTTATGCTGCTCACCACTTCTTTCATATACACACTGTTGCTGCCTGGAATGTTCTTCATCCGGGTCTACTTTTTGAACTCTTAGCTAACTTACAGGAAGTAGTTCCAAAATCAGTGCTTCTATGAAGCCATTTCTAACTTTGTCGGCAGTGGGTCCTACTCCTTTGCAGCCTCATTAGACTCTGTGTATGCTGTTACAGCACCCACCACACTGCATGGCGCTTGTCTTGTTACCTCTGATCCCCTCTCTGGACTGTGGCTCTGTGAGTATTGGTGACTATGGAGTCCCCAGCACTGGGTGCAATGCCTGGCACATAGTATATACTCAGTAGATAACTGGTTAAAGAGAAAAGGACAGAAGGAAATGAAAGCTGTTCTCTTTCTTTTGAAGGGGAAGGAGGTTCCCTCACCATGTGGCTGTCCGTGGCGGCCCTCGTGGGCCTGTACTACCTCCTGCGCTGGTACTGGGAGAGGCAGGTGGTGAGCCACCTCCAGGACAAGTATGTCTTCATCACGGGCTGTGACTCGGGCTTCGGGAACCTGCTGGCCAGGCAGCTGGACCTGCGAGGCTTGAGGGTGCTGGCCGCGTGTCTGACGGAGGAGGGGGCCCAGCAGCTGAGAGCCCAGAC